CTTCTCCACACTGATGTTTTTAAATTCTCCCTCTCCCTTCATCTCTGAAATCAATAAAAATATATTAAAAAAAAAAAAAGAAAAGAAACCCCTCTCCTCCAGAGGATGAAGGAGTGGGTGGTACTTCTACAGCCCTGCCCAGTCTCCTGCCTGTGTACCCCCTACCCACCCAAGTTGCCCGAGCTGGGATGTCTTCTGCCAGCTTCAGTCCAGCCCCTGCCTGTCACAGGCCAGGCTATACAACTGCGACAGGAACCCATTACTCCAGCTCTTATTCCCTCTGACTCGCCCCTCCCAGAACCACCCTTAACCCACTCAAGCCTTTCCACCACTTGTGTGCACTTCCCAACCCAAGAGGGCATGCAGAAGGCAGCCAATCAATGATTCTCTCTCATCATTGATGTTTCTCTCTCTTTCTCTCCCTCTCCCTTCTTCTCTGAAATCAATAAAAATATATTAAAAAAAAAAAAAGAAAGAAATGTGGGTAGATGGAGTGCCTACCTCCTCCCTAGTGGAGCCTGTGGTCTGCACTGAGGGGTGAAGCCAGGCATATCTGGATCCAGTCATTAGGGCAAGGGGAGGTAGGGTATCAGATGACCAAAGTCAAAGGGGAGTCCCAACAGTAAGTTATAATTTCTGAAGATGAGCAAAGCTCACTGAGACAGTGCCCACTGTCACATGTGAAGGCCGAAGTGAAGGGTCTAGAACAGGGGTGGGCAAACTTTTTGACTCGAGGGCCACAATGGGTTCTTAAACTGGACTGGAGGGCCGGAACAAAAGCATGGATAGAGTGTTTGTGTGAACTAATATAAATTCAAAGTACACATCATTACATAAAAGGGTACGGTCTTTTTTTTTTTAGTTTTATTCATTTCAAACGGGCCGGATCTGCCCACGGCTGGTCTAGAACATACAGGGACAGCAGAGACCCCATTGCAGCATTCAGGAGGCAGTCAGTCATATTTATTTATTCCTACTCAACATAACCGCAGAACACAGGAGTAATTCTGTACATCTCTAGAAACTCACAGCTAGCTCCAAAACAATAGAAATTTTAAACTACAAAAGATGAGTTGTATTCAGCAAATATAAAGGGTAACTTCAGGCTGTGTCCAACATTGATCAGACTATTTACAGCGCCCAGGCATAGGTTCAGATCTCTCCAGCCTCCTTCTCCTCCGATGTCTTCCCATTGGAGCTTTCAAGCCTCCAGTCGGTGGCCCCACGCTCGCTCCGACCTCGCTCCCAGGACTCCTCCCTCGACGCCCGCTCTCTGGAGAACCTGGGAAATGGGAACCAGAGGCTCAGCAGAGGCTGTTGTCTCCCTTCTGACTGTCTCCTCAGATGCCCCTCAACACCACGTCAAGGAAGGCCAAGACCCACCCCACCAAGGAAGGCTCCCCAGCACACCAGAGAGCAGTCAGGCCTGCCATCTCATGCCCAGCCCACAGCCACTAAAAAAGTGACATTTAAAAAGATTTCTAGTAGCGGCTATAATATAAACAGAGCAAAGGAAAATGCAACAAAAGGTCCACACGCGGAATATGACCCATTATGTAAAAACACAATGAAAAAAAAAGACTAAACCCAAGCATATACCAAAGTTGTAACAGTGGTTACCAGTGGTGTTTTCCCTTAGAAAAACCACAACAGAGATAAGCAGGGCACAAGCCTCAGTGGTGGTGAGTTGGCAGCCCCTGCGTGTGTCAGGCACCTGGTGGGGCCATGCTCATGTGTGACCACCCCCACAGCCCCTCAGTTGTCCCATCCCTGAATCCATCTGCTGCGCTCAGCTTAGGGCTCCCAGGACTTTGGGTTCCATTCACCACTCCTCAAGGCCCCAATACTCAGTCCCACAGATGCCCAGCCAGTCTCCTGAGCAACAGGTATGGCTGACGGACCCCAGCAGACCCTGGGAACACAAAGAGAAAGGGCTCACTCCTGGTTGCAGCTACTGAAGAAGTCAGAGTAGTTACTTGTATTTCGCACTCCGGTCCCTGGAAGTCCGGCGGTGGCCCCGGCTGTGACTCCGGGAACGACTGCGGTGACGCCGGTGTCTGTCTCGGGACCGGGACCTGGAAGGCTTTCGTCGTTCTCTGGAGGTAGATCTTGACCGCCTCCGACGCCGGTCCCGGGAACGTGACCTGCAGTAGACCAGAGGCTCTGAAGGCTGTGGTGGCCCCACCCCAATGACCCTCCTCTCTCAGCACATTCAGCTTGATGCTTTTCTGCTCTCTCTCCTTTCCTCCCACAAACTTACAGCTTGGGTTCAAAACAGTGCCACCAGTTAATCTCTGGTCAGAAAGAATTATGACCAGACCCTTCCCACCTTCCTCTCTAAAATAAAGAAGACGAAAAATGCATGTGGAAAAGAACATGTGACTGAGAACACTTAAATGGATCTGTTTGTTTTTAATCCTCACCTGAGGATATTTTTCCATTTATTTTTAGAGAAATGGAAGGGAGGGGGAGAGACAGAGAAACATCAACGTGAGAGAGACACATCAATTGGTTGCCCCCCACACACACCCCTAGTAGAATCCAGGATCAAGCCTGCAACTGAGGTACATGCCCTTGACCAAAATAGAACCCAGGACCCTTCAGTCCACAGGCCAATGCTCTGTCGACTGAGCCAAACCGGCTAGGGATTAATTGGATCTGGAAACCTACCTCCTGCGATCTCTGGTTCTTGATCCAGACCTAAAATGAAGGGAGAAAAAAAAATGAACATTTTCCCCAAAACAGCCCCATCCCTCACATCTCAGGGGAGGAGTCCCAAACCCGTTATCTTCTAGCGGTTCACTTGTCCTCAGGCCTGTGGCACCAAGTGTCAATGCTTACAAAATGAAGTCCACCTCCAACCCCCAGCTTCTAGCTGCTTTTGGCAAAAGGACAGGACCAAGCACCTCGAGTTCAACAACTGACTCTGCGAAGTCTTTATAGTGGACACCAGCACAACAAAGCAGTCACCTAACAGAGACAGGGCTGAGTAGAAGCAAAAGTCACCATGACACCAAAGTTAAAGCAAAACCTCAAGTTCCAAACACAGGCTCACTGCCAGATGAGGTCCTTGGGTAATAGTATACCATCAGCAATTCAAAAAATGCACATAGTAATGAGACCTCATTTTACAGTGTCCACATCAAAAGTTTACATGATTGCCACCAACATGGGCTGAGGAGGAAGTGACAAAACATGCTCTTATACTGTGTGGCTTGAGATGATTTAATAAAGCCACTTGGAAAGCAATTTCTGTAACACCTACCAATATTTATTTATTAAATTCCTTTATGCCAGAAATTCTAAGGAATTTTTTAACACTCAAAACATATACAAAGATGATTTCTAGAATAATTGTTCAAAATAGTTTTATAAAAACATAAAAATAGTCATCAAAAATTAAAATTGGCCCTAGCTGGTTTGGCTCAGTGTATAGAGTCGTTGGCCTGTGGACTCAAGGGTCCTGGGTTCGATTCTGGTCAAGGGCACATGCCCGTGTTGCGGACTCGATCCCCAGTGGGTGTGTGTGTGTGTGTGTGTGTGTGTATGCGCGCGCGCGCGTGCGCAGGAGGCAGATCAATGATTCTCACTGTTGATGTTTCTAGCTCTCTCTCCCTCTCCCTTCCTCTCTGAAATCAATTTTTTTAAAAATTAATTAAAAAAAAAAAGACCAGCCGAAGCCGATTTGGCTCGGTGGATAGAGCATCGGCCTGCGGACTCAGGGGTCCCGGGTTCGATTCCGGTCGGGGGCGTGTGCCTTGGTTGCGGGCGCATCCCAACAGGAGGTGTGCACGAGGCAGCTGATCGATGTTTCTCTCTCATTGATGTTTCTGACTCTCGGTCCTCTCCCCTCCTCTCTGTGAGAAATCAATTAAACATATATTTAAAAAAAAAATAAAAATAAAAAAATAATTAAAAAAGGCCCAAAATGACCCCCCCCGCACCACCAGAAAAGGAAAGAGAAACCTCATACACTGTTGGTGGAAATGTAAATTAATGCAGCCACGTTGGAAATTCCTTAAAGAATTAAAACTAGACCCACCAACGCCCCAGCAATTCCACTTCTAGGTAAAGTAGTCCCCCCTTTCCTTTCATTTTCTGCAGCTTCAGTTACCCACGGTCAACCTCAGTCTGAAAACATTAAAATTCCAGAAATAAAAAGTAAGTTTTAAATTGTACACCCTTCTGAGTAGCATGATGAAATCTTGCAGCATCCCACTCCGTTCTACAAATCATCCCTTTGTCAAGCATATTCATGCTGTATATATTACCTGCCTGATAAGTCACTTAGTAGCCATCTTGGTTATCAGAACGACTGGTGAAGTACCACATTGCTTGCGTTCAAGTCACCTTTATTCTACTTAATATTGACCACAAAGAACAGGAGTAATGATGCTGGCAAAGAGAAGCCGTAAAGTATACATAGGAAAAAAACAGCTTACTTAAGGTTCAGTACTATCGGCAGTTTCAAGCATCCAGGTTTAGGTATCTATCTCCTGCAGATAAGGGGAGGAACTACTGTATTTATTTGCAACCCCAACTAAGTGTCTACTGACAGATGAATAAAGAAAACTGATACATACACAAGGGAATATTATTCAGCCATATAAAAGAAGGAAATCCTCCCATTTGTGACAACATGGATGGACCTTGAGGGCATTATGCTAAGTGAAACAGGTCAAACAAAGACAAATACTATATGATTTCACTTATATGTGGAGGCACGGGATGGGGAAGTGAATGAAAAGGGTGAAGGTGGGGGGAAAAGAATACTGTTATGACACATCACTGTAAGGACACACCTGCTGTGGATGATCTCAGATATCAGCTGAGGGTCCCACAGGTGCCAGTGCACACAGACACAACCCACCCCACAGTGGTCACCTCTGTGTAAACAGGGACTTGCATGTTTTGCTTGTACATTTCTATACTGCTTAAGTTTCTTTACAACCAGAATCTGTTAGGTAATTAATGGGAAAAATATAATAAATACTTATTTATCCTTCCATAGTTACACACAGAGGAATTCCTTCAGGAAAACCCAGTTTTTGGACCTTTCAAGGACAATGAGCTGTGCCCAATAGGAGAGCACAGTAACTCCTGGCTCAAGTCTCTTCCCTGAACTCCGACCAGACTCAACATCTCTACCTAGATGCTTCTTACACATCTCAAACTGAGTATGGCCAGAGTCAATTTATACTCCCTACATCCTCCTCACGCCAACACACAGCTCCTAGTCTTTCCGACCTCCGTAGATGGTCACTCAAGGCCAGAACCATGACACCAGCTCCATTCCCCCTTTGCTTTCCTCACAACTGATTACCAAGAAATCTTATCAGCTCTATACCCAGACCCTTCCCACCCTCACCTGATTCAAACTTCCACCCCCTCCTTCTGAGCTCTCCCAGCTGGCTCCTCACTATTCTTGCTGCTACTGCCCCTACCACCTGCATTTACTCACAAGGCAGCAGGTCCCAACCTCCTCCACTGGCCCCATTTCACTCAAGTCAATGCCAGAGGCTAAACAGCCCCAAGGACCTTCTTGTACAGCTAGGCATAGCAGCGTGACACCTGTTCCTGCCTGTCCTATTTGCCGAGCGCTACATCCACAGGAGTCCGGGTGTAGCAGGTTCCTCTCCCTCCTCTATGCTTTACTCTCGGGGGTGGGGGATTGAGGGTGGTGTCTATATCTTTCCAGGTAAGAATTAAGTCACCAGAGTTCTCGTGCAGCTGAAGATAGCCCAGTCCAGTGCTGCACTGCTGTGCACACACAGGTCTTTCTAGGCCAGCCAATCCTTGCTCAACTGAACATGCTGCGAGTTTATTTTCTTTTAACTGCCTCTTAGGTACTTAGCAGACCTCAACTGTTATCGGCAACACTGCAATGAAAGTAGGGGTTTCCTATGTGCTACCTCGGGCTCACCTCCTGCTCAGCCGCTCCTCCCGTTCCCTCTCTTCTCTCCTCCTCAAGCGATCCTGGTTTCTCTTCTCCTGTTTTTCAGCCACAGTTTTCTAAATAAATGAAAAATTGGAAAATGAGAGAAGAGAAAGTTACTAGAGTGTAAATATTGTTTAATAAAGCACATTTATATGACCTCAGTATTGGTAATTTAAAAATCTAAGAGAAAGTCTTAAAAAACAGGAACATGGTCAATTTAAAAACTTCTTAAACAATGAAAAATGGAAAACTCATTTTAAAATGCTTTATCATCACACTAAAAAAATTGTAAACATATTTTTATTGATTTCAGAGAGGAAGAGAGAGGGAGAGATAGAAACATCAATGATGAGAGACAATCATCGATCGGTCACCTCCGGCATGCCCCCTACTGGGAATTGAGCCCACAACCTAGGCATGTGCCCTGACCAGTTATCAAACTAGGTTCTCCTGGTTCATAGGTCAACACTCAACCACTGAACCACACTGGCTGGACTATCATTACATTTTATAAATTCAGTGACATAGTGCATACCTTCTTTTTTTTAATCCTCACCTAAGGAGTGAGGATATTTTTTCCATTGATTTTTAGAGTGGAAGGAAGGGGGGATAGTGTGAGGGAGGGAAGGAAAGAGAGAGAGAAACATGGATGTGCGATAGACACATTGACTGATTGCCTCTCACACTCGCACTGATCAATGGCAGGATTGAACCTGCAAACCCAGGTACGTGCCCTTGACCAGGAATCAAACTGGCGACCCTTCAATGCCCAAGCTGAGGCTCTAACCACTGACCTTGCCAGCCAGGGCGAGAAACTGCATAGTCTAAGAGATGTTGTACTTCTAAGTCACAGAAAATTTATCATATTGCTTTAAATCAATCCATAAAGTTAGTTTTCTATCCAAAGGAGCTCCACCAACTTTACGGTGAAAGAGAACACAGGTATCAGACCAAATACATCTTGTTGCTGGGAGCCTAGCTCCTGCTGTCGAGGAGCAGCCAGTCTTCAGGTGCCTTTAGACCTGGCCTCACAGAGAAGCAAGCAGGGGAAGTAGACCATGAACCTCCAATCTTAACACATGGCTCATCAGGCTTGATTGTGAACCCAACAGAAAAGAAAATGCAACGGGCTGGAGGCGGCCTTGAGAAACTTGCACTACTGGAACACAATCAACACAGCTTAGTGCAAAGCAGCATGTTCAATCTGCACATCCCCCAACCCAACGTCTTTCAAACCCTTCAATGGCCTGATCTCTTTGCTCAGTAAAATGAAGTCCTGAAGGGAAGCCCGAGCCAATGAGACAAACAGTCACCAGTCTTCTCATACCCATGAAGGCATGAAGGATGATCTTAAATCTCAGTGTGGACTGGAATCAGGCCAGGTCCCCAGGAAGAGGTCTGAGAGAGAGGCTAGCTTTCCTCCCTGAAGCACTCTCCAGCTATGAGAACCTTCCTGTCTAGCACCTGCAGCTCTACACCTGGGACTCCAACCACTTGCACCTGGAGCAGGCACACACAATGGACAGGTTAATATTAATAATATAGATAGAAGTCTCAGCACCTCTGCTTCCATGCGCACTTCCTAAAAAAATCTGACCGTGAACATCCCTAGCAAACGATCTTTCCCCACCCGACAAATAAGGCCTTCGTCTTCTTATACCCCCGCATTTACTTCAGTGTGTGGCTCTGAGATGTGAACACCTCTGGGACCACTGTGAAGCCATCTCTGGTTAGAGCATAGAACTCCCACCCTCTTTATCATTTAGAGCTACCCTTCCAAATACATTTTCTGTTGTTAGTTTAATAGCTATTTAACAAAATCTGTAATATACTTGTGTTGTTTTGGTCAACTATATACTACTCATCACTGTAAAGATAAAACATACTTTCTAGATCAACTGAGTAATTAAGTTCTTAAGGTTTTAGGGGAAAATATTTTAATACATTCACCTTTCTGATGTAGATATGTGTTACAGAAATGAAAAGCTTCCAGGACAAAATTATGGAGTGATATGGCATGGAACTACAATTTAAAGGAGAAATGGGCCCTCGCTGGTTTTGCTCGGTGAATAGAGTGTTGGCCCTCGAACTGAAGGGTCCCAGATTCGATTCCGGTCAAGAGCACATGCCTCGGTTGCAGCCTGAATCTCTGGGGCCGGTGCTCATGTAGGAGGCAACCAATCAATGTGTCTCTCTCATGTCGATGTTTCTCTCTGTCTCTCCACCTCCCTTCAACTCTCTCTAAAAATCAATGGAAAAATATCCTCAGGTGAGGATTAACAACAACAAAAAAGAAAGAGAGAGAGAGAGAGAAATGGAATGTGACATTTCCAAATGCTAAGGAGATTTTTTAAATGGAGACAAACACAAAATTGTTATTTATGTTCTACTGGCTACATATATTTTTACAACTCTGATACCCATAAACTTATAAAGTAAAAATTCTGACTTAAAAACATGTGACAAAGTGTATTAATTTTCAAAATCCTACTGGGAGCAAAGGAGTAAAATGTGTCAAGACCAGTGGCTGAGAACATCCTCACTGCCACCCCAGCTCCGTAGCCCAGTGCCGAGATCACACATCACCTCCTGGGGACCCCTCCTTCGATGCAGAGTTCTGCTGCCCACTGCTCCTTCCTGAGAGGCATACAAGGGTCTCAGTCTTATCAGTGTCCTATAGTTAGGTGCCACATGCCTGTCCTTCCACCAGATTTCAGGTGTCTAGAGGGAAGGCCTACCTATTTCCCAGCATCCCATCTTTAACACAGTACACAGCAGGGAAGACTCCTGTCAGTTTGGAGAACAATAACTCTAAGTATCTGAAACATGTTCACCCTTTCTTCTTAGTGTTCTGTACTCAAGATGTCAAATGTTGCCGAAACCGGTTTGGCTCAGTGGATAGAGCGTCGGCCTGCGGACTGAAGGGTCCCAGGTTCGATTCCGGTCAAGGGCATGTATCTTGGTTGCGGGCACATCCCCAGTGGGAGATGTGCGGGAGGCAGCTGATCGATGTTTCTCTCTCATCGATGTTTCTAACTCTCTATCTCTCTCCCTTCCTCTCTGTAAAAAATCAATAAAATATGTTTAAAAAAAAAAAAAGATGTCAAATGTTTTACAGTCTAACCCAGGAAAACTACCACCTTCTCGGCCAAAGTTGGCTCAGGGCAAGGGCCAGGATGTGTCGTCTTCCATCTAGCCTAACCATTCTTCATGCATTGCCTCTGTCCAAAGAGAAAAACTAGAGGCTGCTGGTTTTTCCCCATCTCCTAACAGAAGTTATTTCGGAGATGTGCAAGAGGTGTCCATATCCTGTACTGGACTCTGCCATTATCCTTATAAAAAGGGAATGCAGACTAAATCAATGTCCAAGGCCCCTTAGGTCTCTTGTGTGAGTAAGTGATGAATCGAGCATTTATTTCACTACAAAATTCAAGGCACATTCTTAGGATAAAAACAAAAGTTTTCTAGAAGGAAATAAATGCGAAAAGATCACAAGACTTCTTACCCTCAACTGATCAAGCTTCTCTCGGATCTGAATGAACCCCAAGTGCAATTTGCCCCCAAAGTGGTCTGCAAGACGACGGTCATTGTCATGGAGACCAAGGTAGGCTGAGCAGACTTCACAGACACGCAACTTCTGCTGTTGAAAACTGGATGCAGGCATAGAATTTCTGTATTCTTCCTGGAAAAAGAGAACGGAGTGATGAAAATGCCACCAAATAGTCAACCCCTAAAATGGAAATATTTGAAGGGACTATAGAAGTGAGTTATAAATAAATAAGAATTTGATCATTTCAAAGTTTCAGATATTTTTAACCAATTTAACTTCATCATTTATTTAAGGAATGAACCAACAGCCCTGCCCAGTTCAGTTGGTTAGAGCAGCGGTGGGCAAACTACGGCCCGCGGGCCCGATTCGGCCCGTTTGAAATGAATAAAACTAAAAAAAAAAAAAAGACCGTACCCTTTTATGTAATGATGTTTACTTTGAATTTATATTAGTTCACACAAACACTCCATCCATGCTTTTGTTCCGGCCCTCCGGTCCAGTTTAAGAACCCATTGTGGCCCTCGAGTCAAAAAGTTTGCCCACCCCTGGGTTAGAGGGTCGTCCCGATAGGCCAAGGTTGCAGGTTCGATCCCAGGTCAGGGCATATATAAAAATCAACCAGTGAATGCATAAATAAATGAAAAGGATCGATTTTCTTTCTTTCTCTCTCTCTCTAAAAATCAATAAAAAAAATTTTTTTGAAAGAATCAAAAAACCATGATTTTAAAACAAGGAAAATTCAAAACATTCAGACCAGCAGGATTCTGTCTGTTCTCAGAGGGAACAGTGAAGGTAGGTCTTTAGGAACTGCGGGAAGTGAAGACCAGAGAAGCAAGACAGGAGAATCTTCAGCAGGGTCCTTCAAAAAATAAACCAAATGAACAAGCAAAAAAAACTCGAGCACCATCCACAGAATTTGTGTCCCAATGTCTAGGAAGCTATATCCCAATGCAGCGCCAAAAGATAAAATTTGGAAGGACAAATATATTAGACACTCTCTTCAAAGAAGAAAGTATGCACAACAAAACCAGTTCCCTCCTGCAGCCACTACAGTCTGAGTCCAATCACAAGAAGTAACTCATTCAGGCTCAAAATACATAAGACACGAAAAAAAATGAAACATGACATGGAAACTGCTGCTTGTGCCCAAGTTAGAATGCTCCTTCAAAATCCAGGTTTAAGATATGCATTACAATAGTCACTTATCCTTCAAGGGAGCCCTGATTGTAATTAATCTATTAATCCACACATTCAAAACATTTCCTAGGAAAGGCAAAGTAAGATAAGATACATCACTCTCACTAAACTGGCAAAGATACAGAAAAACAGGCACTCTCATACTACATTACTGATAGGAGGAGCCTGAGTTGGTACAACTAATGTGCAGTGCACTTTAGTGATCTATCTAGTGGAAGTGAGACATATACATGCTTTTACCAGAAACTCTCCTTCCAAATCTATGTCCTAGAACACTCTCACATGCACTAGTAGACAGGATCAAAAACACTCGCTATATAACTGTTTGTAAAGATGAGAAATCCCTAATAACCTACAAATCGGCAAAGGGACAGTCATCCTATCCTATCCTATCCTATTCTATATAATAAAAGGCTAATATACTAATCAACTAAACGACAGAACGACTGGTCACTATGACGTGCACTGACCACCAGGGGGCAGTGAGGATATTTTTCTGGCTCCGCTCAGCCAGAAGGCCGGCTCACAGCTGGCGAGTGCAGTGGCAGTGGTGGGAGTTGGAAATCCCCAAAGGCTCCCGGAGTGGTGGGAGTCAGACATCCCCAAGGGCTCCCAGAGTGGTGGGAGTCAGACATCCCCAAGGGCTCCCGGAGTGGTGGGAGTCAGACATCCCCAAGGGTTCCCGGAGTGGTGGGAGTCAGAAATCCCCAAGGGCTCCCGGACTGGGAGAGGGCACAGGCCAGGCTGAGGAAACTCCACCCCCCACCTCAAGTGCACATATTTCGTGCACCAGGCCTCTAGTAGGTTCATAAAATGGAATCCTACAGCAATAAGCTAAAACAAATCTATAGGCAGCAACATGGAGAGATCTCATAAAAAATGCTGAGTAAACAATGCAAGTGAGTAAAAGACATGGAGAGTGTGGACAGAATTTATGTAGGACTTTTTAAAAATTTAATGTTATTTTTATTGACTTCAGAGAGGAAGGGAGGAGAGGGAGACAGAAACATCAATGATGTTCTGTATCTTGATTATTATTGCCAGTGTTCTTTCTGTGATATTGTGCTAGAGTTTTACAACATCGGGGGAAACGGACAAAGGGTACACGGGATCTCTGTACTCTCTCCTGCACACCCCACACTGGAAATTGAGCCCACAACCCGGGCATGTGCCAACCTGGAATCAACCATGACCTCCTGATTCATAAGTCCACGGTCAACCACTAAGCCACACCAGTGGGACATGTAGGACTTTTCTTAATGCACAAAGTACGTCCCCCTCACACACAAGCATAGTGTTTATGGGTATACATGTGTAATAAAGCATAAAGACAGAACTGAAGATTATGCTACATGTACACTAATGCCTGCCTCTGGAAAGGGAGGAAAATTGGGACTAGAGAGGAGGGGAAACACAGAGAACTGAATTTCCATTATAATGCACTACACACTTTTAAGTAAAAACAAAACCAAAAAAATCTTAAGCAAAAATTAAAAACATGTTGGTTATACAAATATTTATGATATTGTTTCCCCTTCTGTAGTTTTGTAACTTTGAGTGCCACTCCGTAATATCTCTCAAGATAAATTCTAATTATGCTGACTGAAAAGCCGATTCTGCCCTGGCCAGTGTAACTCAGTTGGAAGGTCGCCAGTTTGATTCCCGGTCAGGGCACATGCTCAGGGTGTGGGTTCAATCCCTGGTTGATGTGTTTCTCTCACTCCCTCCCTTCCTCTCTCTAAAATCAATTTTAAAAAAACATTATGGCCCTAGCTGGTTTGGCTCAATGGATGGAGCATCGACCTGCGGACTGAAGGGTCCCAGGTTCGATTCCGGCCAAGGGCTTGGGTTGCGGGCTTGATCCCCAGTAAGGGGCGTGCAGGAAGCAGCCAATCAATGATTCTCTCTCATCATTGATGTTTCTATCTCTCTCTCCCGTCTTCTCTAAAATCAATTATATATATATATAAAAAACATTTTAAGGAAAAAAAGCTGATCCCAAAGGTTACATACTTTATGATTCAATTTATATAACATTCTTGAAATGACCAAATAAAGACATGGAGGACAGATTGGTGGTTGCCAGAGATTAGAGAAGTAGGTGTGGCTATAAAGGGCAACAGGAGGGGAATCTGTGGTAATGGATGTTCTGTATCTTTTTAAAAAAATATATATTTTATTGATTTCAGAGAGGAAGGGAGAGGGAGAAACACCAAAGATGAGAGAGAATCAATAATCGGCTGCCTACTGCACGCCCCACACTGGGGATGGAGCCCACAACCCTAGCGTGTGCCCTTGACCAGGAATCGAACCTGGACCTCCTGGTTCATAGGCCGACCCTCAACCAACTGAGCCACATTGGCCACACTGGATGTTCTGTATCTTTTTTTTTTTTTGTAACATATCCTTATTGATTTCAGAGAGGAAGGGAGAGGGAGAGAGAGATAGAAACATCAATGATGAGAGAATCATTGATTGGCTGCCTTCTGTACACCCTCTATTGGGGATCAAGCTCGAAACCCAGGCCATGTGCCCTTGACTGGAATCAAACCCGGGACCCTTCAGTCCACAGGCTGAAGCTCTATCCACAGAGCCAAATCAGCTAGGGCTGGATGTTCTGTACCTTGATTGTTATTAATGTCAGTATCCTTTCTGTGATATTGTGCTAGAGTTTTACAACATTGGGGAAAACAGGTAAAGAGTACACAGGATCTCTGTACTCTCTTAAGCTTGCTATTAAGAGCAGAAAGGATCCCACATGTGCCACACCACCACAGAGACCAGCACTCCCGAGCCTTCCCACACACCATCTGTCTTGCCTGGTGGTTTTAAGTGGTGCTGCCTCTTGACAGTACTCACAGTGATGGCGACAGGGAGCAGCAGCAGGAGCAAGGATGCTAGCAGTCCTGGGCATGAACAGCCATGTGTCCCATATCCTGCTCCCGTCCCAGCTGTCCACAGACATCCATGTGGTGAACGCCACATCTACAATTACCTTAGCCCATGTGTAAATCTTTGAGCCATCACAGACTTTGGTGTCTCTTTGGTTCTTTGAAGCAGGAAGAGCTGGCCTTCAGTGTGTGGTAAGAGGCCACAGAGGGTCTCTCCTAACTCTCTGGTCTTCCTGGTACAGCTGAGCTGTCAGCAGCAACTCAGGGAGCATAACTCTGTACTACGTATAAACACAAATTCCCATTTAAGTATACAGAGATTTAGTTCCTATAAAGGACTAAAATGAACATACGACCTTTGGTGCTTGGGCCAATGCTCTAACCACTGAGCGCGGGGGCCAGGGCTCATTTATCTTTTAGTGTGATCAATCTAAGCAATTATATACAAAAACATCAGATATGTATTGCGAATTCTTTTCTCTCTTTTACGTTCAAGAATGGATTATATTACCTACGAATATCACTGAAGGGGATGTTGGTGACAGGTGCATGAAGCATTATCACAGCACCACCTTCCAACAAACACTGCTGACCTCAATTCCAGCCGGTGCTGCTGGGGCACCATGGAAAGGTGTCCTGACAGCCCCATCACAAGTAACCCCATTGCTCTGTCTCTTCAATGTGTCACTCCTTCAGCAAGCACTGCTCTAAACCCATGACCCTTGGCACCATCCTATTACGTATACCATGCTGAGCCAGAAGTAGTGACAACCAAAACCAGACCTACACCGAGGCACCTATATGCCATCTCCTCATCTCTACCTGGCCCTCCTGCCCCCACCACTTTGATAAACTTCTCAGTCTGTGGATCTCAGCTAAGTGGCCTTCAGGATTAACTTATCCTACCTGGAGACCCCATACAACCCAAAGTCACTCTCAAATTCAGACCCCATTTCTTCTTAATCTATCTTACCCAACTGTTCACATTCTCTTCTGTCTGTGCCCCCACCCATTCTCCAGTGCCATCTCCCTCATTGGAGAGCCTCTTCCAGCTTGCTCACAACTAAAAAAGTGCCTGGCACTGAGCTGAAGCTTGGCGAGCACACCCTGTCTCACTCTGGCTCTACCATTCTCAAGCCACTTCCAACTGTAGTGGTGAGGATTCAAGAACAAGGTCTCCAACAGATAAAATAATCTAGTAAGAAAACAGTTATCAGTGAAAAAAACACTGAGCCCTTGATCTGTTCCGCTACCACACTGCCAGTGTGTCCTGGCCTGGCACCCAGGCCGATACCACTTGTATGCTCTCTCTACCGAAGATGCAGCATCAAAGGTTTCATTCTTTACAGCAATCTGCAATACAACTGTGGTCCAGTCACACAAGCTATAAAACCACCACAGCCCACCAACTCCCCAGGGAGCTGGAGGAATAAGCAGTAAAACTGGTCTCTATGGAACCTCACAATGGGAATTATGCTCAGATCGGGCAAGTGACTGGTCTTAGGTTACAAAGGGACCCCAGGGGGCACAGGAAAGACAAGCCCAAGCATGCACTGGGATCCTGTCAATGTCTCCCCTTATTTTAACTCCTTCCTAAGATTCAAAAATAGAGGCATGGCTTAAATTTCAGTCCAGAGTCAACTCTCCGGAATTACTCAGTTTCCCCTTTCTCTAAGACATTTTTCTCACCAACCTCAGCTTCTTTTTTCTTTGCACGGACTTTCTCCACTTCCATAAGAATTTTCTGGGATTCATCCACATTTCCTTCTGCTCCCAGCTGTTCAGCTTTAGCAAGAAGTTTTCCTATTTCTTCATTCAACTCATGTACTTTTTCTGCCTGAGGGGAGAGAGAAACAATCAAGTAAACAGGCATCTAAAAAACAAAGAAAATGAGTGTGTCTCTTGCTGAATTTCTGGTCTGTTCCACTGAAAATAAACAGAACAGTTAAAGATCCTTGGTGGCTCACATAAATTGTGACAATTACGACATCCTTATTGCCAACACTGAGACTCTGACCATAAACTAAACCTGTACACCATGTTTCAATAAATGCAGCAGCATCTCTGTCACTTCCAATATGGCTGCAAGGATCAACACTGGTTATTTTCTAGGCTGTGTCTTTTAATGTCTCCTACACAGTTCGATATTTTGGGGTAAGAGTAATAAAATGTCTATGTTTAAATACATGAAACTTATACTGTAAGCAAAATGCCTAATTATTTGTATTTACTTTCAGAAATAAAACAGCACTTTTGGACCAGTTAGCAACTGCATATATTCTAAGAAATGCTTTTACAAAACTGAAAGGGAAAAAACAATGAGCAGTTTTAGTTCTACTGAACAGGGAGTACAGAAGAGTAACGCAGCTGACACCCAGGCCAATTATATACAGACCTACCTTCATTCCGTGATATGGATGTACTAAAGTTCAAACATTTCCCCACTTCCCATTTCCGGTTTATGTGGGATACTAAAAACACAAACTTTAAAAAGTATGTATGGTGGGGGCAGGGACAGCAGCAGTAGCTCCTGGGAGCTGAGAGCTCACTGACAGCCACCCTTTTACTGGAAACACTCAAGGCAGAGTGTCCACCCCAAAGATGCACTATCAGTGCTGATGTTGAGCTGTGAGTCCGTCGGCAGCCCAGTTCTTACCAGACCGTGATTTGTACCAATAACTCAAGGCGAAAACCTCCCAAACATACCTTTGCAGAAACTTCTGCACTGATCTCCTCCTGTGTCTCTGCCAGCCGCTTCTTGGCAAGTTCAGTTCTCCGATCACACTCAGCGATAAAGGACTCCAAGTGATCCATCGCCTAGCTCAGGAGAAGCAGAGAGCTGGGATCAATTACATGTATGATCTAAGAACCCATTTGTTCGACAGGAAAATACTCCTGGGTTGATTTCTTAAAGCCTGTAGGTTCAGTGGGAAGATCTGAAACTACACTCCAGCCAACACATCCATAGTCACATTAAATCAAGGGGCTTTGTTAAACCAAATGATCATTCAGGAGCATAGTCTTCTCATCTGACTTATTTATTTCCAAATTTTGTAATAGGTACCCCATCCCTCAACATTTCCAAGAAAATACTAAGGAAAATTACAACACTTGGCCATAATGAATAGTGTTCTCTGAGGGACAGAAAAGGCTGGATCGAAACTGGTGTTAGAGCCCTCCTCTGGTGAGCTGTGGGAAATGCAGATGATGTACTCACTGGTCTTTGTGAGCCACGCAAATATTACCCCTCATGTTCTGAGGGTAGAGCTCCCCCTTCCACCTCAAAACAAAACAATAGAACAAATATTACTGAGAGCTGTGAATACGTTTAGTTATTGCCTACTGTCTAAAATACCAGGAAAACTGGTAGACTACTTACCCAAAGAGATAAAGGAAAAGAAACTCTAGAAATCTAAATGCTTACTCTGGAGAGAGTTGGTAGGGAACAATATAATACTAATTAACAAGCTGTCACATACTAGTATACTAAGCAGTTAATTTGTCATACTAGTCAAAGGCCCAACATTAATTTCACATACATACAAATAGGAAATCACTTGTCCAACTTTCAGGCTACCACCAGTAATAAGCAGCATCTCCTAAGTTATACTCATGAGCCAGTCTGCTAATGTCAGCATCACCTTGAAAGCAAGGAAGTATAGCCATGGATGACAGGGTCAGACAGTATGATCTATCATTAAAAAAAAAAAAAAGAGAGAGAGAGAGAAAAGAAAATTTGGGGTGGAAATGATAACAAGGAAGATGAAAGTTAGGCCAACAGACCAAGTGGTGGTAATCCATATCCCTCCCCACAAAGATGGCCAGGAGAGAGCAGGTGAGCTATTAAGAAAGTGCTCCACAAGATCGGTTGACACTAGAGTAACATTTCACTATGTTCAAATCAAACAATCAGGAATGCAAATGATTGGCATTTGTTTGCCTGGATGCCCTGTATTTCCTGGAAAAATATAGAGTAAATCAGTTGTGCGGACAAATTTGAACTCACCAGGATCAAAGTTCCAATGAGCTGATATGGGTCACATACCATCTGTGCTCACTAGGACAACAGCTCCTAAGACAATAGCCTGAGATGCCCCAGTTCATCCACACACAGGCACTGAGACTTTGGAGCGGAGCCCCTCTCATGTCTACACAAATAGAGCCATTTCACACCCGAGGCAGACCCAGGGGCCCAATAGAGAATAGACATCTGATGACAGTGCCAGTGTCTTTACCAATCAGAGAAACCACTTGTATCTTAAGCTGAATCCAAATTGGCAGGGTCCAGAATCAGACTTCTGATCAGTTATAAACTAAACAGTAAACTTCACAAAATAGAATAGGCAGACCGAGAGGTGTTTTAACTGCCAGGTTTTTTTCTTTTCTTTTTTAAAATTCTCACTTAAAAAAAAAAATTCCTCACCCAAAGATGTTTTTGATTGATTTTAGAGAGTGCGAGAGAGGGGGGTGGGAGAGAAATATCGATGTGAGAAACATCATTTAGTTGCCTCCTGTACAGGCCTCCAAAAGAGATCGAACCCATAACCTAGGTCTATGCCCTGACCAGGATGACACTCCAACCCACTGCCCCTCCCTCTCTTCAATGTGCTTCTCAATATCCCCTCCCTCTCTTCAATGTGCTTCTCAATATCAGAGTGAAATCAAAGAGCAGGTCTAAATGATTTTTTTTTAATGTTGCATTTCTTGAAATACTTGATTACTCTCCACATGATAGTAACAGTAATTGCTATAATGGATTAAATTCTATTACAGACATCTCAGCAGAAAGTTGAAAGATTAATATTTAAATTAAGCCACTTTCTTCTATACTAGAAAACTAACTAAAAAGGCCATGAAAAATAGATCTGATTCTCAATAGCTTTGAAAATTTTTAAAAACTATAAAAAAACTTTATTGAAATACATTTGAGGTTCCATAGCTCAATCAAAATGCACAATTTTAAATGGACTGGTTTTATTGTACAAAAATTGCTCTTTAAAAAGCTGTTTAAAATGAGGCACCCTTGCTAGATGGTGTGGCTCAACAGTTGAGTGTCAACCCCTGCCCAAGAGATTGTTGGTTCGATTCTGAGTCAGGGCACATGCCTGGGTTGCAGGCTCCATCCCCAGCACGAGGTGTACAAAAGGCAGCCAAATGATGTTGTTTCTCTCTCATCAATATTTCTATCTCTCCCCTCCTCTAAAATCAATAAAAATATTTTTAAAAAATAAAGTGAGGTACCCTTTCCAGGGTCATTGTATTATGACCATTTATTGTGGTATTCTTTTATGTATTTCAGTAAGTGGTTTTTTTAAAAAAAGGTATTTGCATCTAAAAATTAAGTCCTAATCACAACTTACTAGAAAGTCATCCAACTTCTCATAACTCAAGGGTGATGAGAGGAAACATGAACTACTACGGGTACTTGAGCACAGCGCAGCACTGGCACACAGGTCTCACTGCTGCTGCAGGAGGCTGTCCCTTCATGCACAGGACTGTCTGTGACTGTGCTGTTTCTGATTCTGCCTGCCCAGCAGCAGTGACACCAGCCAGCAATCCACGAGCCTGAGACAAAACAATGTTGTCAGAATGGTCACAGCAAACATGTGCCAATGGACAGTGATGCCTGTTCCACACATGCCTCAAAACAGCTGTACATGGATTTATTTCCATTTCTCAGATGAAGAAGCTGAGGTATAGGTTCCAAACGACTAAGTGATAGTAGTATGCAAGGACCCCTGTGGTTTAACTCCCTACACTTAATCCTCACAACTCTGACACAGTTATCACCAGCCCAGTTTCTAGATGAATAGAAACAGGTGAAATAACTTGCCCAAGGTGACACAGGGATTCTAACCCAGGATATCTGACTTGTAAAATAAAATATAATTATTGAAATATATATATATTATACTGTGCATATATAAGACTGAAAAACTAGGTATAATCAGAACTGGTCACATTTGGTATATTAAGACAGTTTCAAAATTAGTTAACATGGTGTGTTGTTCTAGAAACCTGTCAAGTAGAACATCACAGAACAAGACAACTTAAAGAAAATGTCAACTGTATTTACACTAAATCAAAGAGAAACAAATTATTTACATTTTCAACATCTGGATACTTAAGAAATGTACTCCTTTGTAACTTTTCCATAGGTTAAACTAATGAGTTAACATTGCTATTTGCCAGTGTTCAAGCTGAGAAACTTGCAAGAAATGCATTTACATAGAGTACCTAATAGCAAGTATTACATGCCCTTTCCTAGAAAATAAAATTCCTGGACAAAACACTCAAGAAAGCAAGGTCTGGTCCTAGCATGGTCAGGTTGAGGCTGCATTAGGATGGAAGAAGCTAATGGTAGGCACCTTCTCCCAGATAAAACACCTGAGTTTTGGGTGGCTCCTGAGTGGAAAGGTGCCAGAAGTCCTGTCCATCACGCTCAAACTGAGGGTATAGGCAGGGAATACCTACACAAAGAAATACCTTGATGGCAACTCTGTCAAGCCCACAAAGAAATACATTTTTACACCTTTTGGGTCTCTCGCTGACAAAGACCCAGAGTTTGACAACTCACTGTCAGTGAAGATGTGAAAACTGGAACTGATACACCATGGTGAGAGCATCGCTATGACACTACCCATTTAAGAGTTTGGTATATACCCGTTTAAATTGTGTTAAACTATAAATTGGTAATTACAAAATAGTCACAGGAATGTAAAATACGGCATAGGGAATATAGTCAATAGTACTGTAATAACTATGCGCAATGCCAGGTGGGTACATGAAATATTGGGGGGACCACTTTGTAAAGTATATGATTGTGTAACTGCTATGCTGTACACCTGACATACAAAATAATATTGAATGTAAACTGCAACTGAAAAATAAAATTTTGAAAAGTATATAAAGACACGTAATTTTAATTCCAACTAAACAGGTTTTGCAAGTTTCCTTTTTATCCTTTTCACATCAATGTACACATCTATGATCTACGGCTGTGTAGTATTTCACTGTATTTTAACACAACTATGGTAACCCCTCTAATAAAAACGTAGTTGGGATTTTTCAATTTCATTACTTCAAAATTATAGCAATAAACATCTTATGTCTTCTCATACATAGGTAAATACTCTTTTAGGACAATTTCTTACAAATTGCTTAGAGGTGACTGAAAGTCTAAGTATTTTAAATTTGTAGAAAGGGCCGATTAGTTCTTATTTTAAGGTAATTTTCCTTTAAACCATTGCATCATGAATTAATAAATCAACTATGAACTCCAGTTTTAAAAAGAGTTCTTTTCTAAAATAAACAAAAGGCATGGGTATCTTAGTACCATCTAGATTGCAAAACTTTCATGTTGATCTGACTTCAACAACCTATTTTGAAAAAACACCTCTTGTATAATAAAAATGATTTAGCCCAGCTGGTGTTGCTCAGTGGCTGAGTGTCAACCCATGAACCAAGAGGTAGCTGGTTCAATTCACAGTCAGGGCATATGCCCATGTTGTGGGCTCAATCCCCAGTAGGGGGGTGTACATGAGGCAGCTGATCAATGATGTTTCTATTTCTGTATCCTTCTCCCTTCTTCTTTCTCTAAAATCAATAAAAACATCTTTTAAAAATGAATAAAAATGATTTAAAATATAATTCAAATGCCTGCTATATTGAACATATTTGATTAAAATTTTTTTCAATATTAAAACAATATGTTATACTTTTTTTGTCAGCTGTCTCTGTAATATATCCCGGGTTAAAAAACAAAAACAAAAACTCCTAGCCCTGAACAGTTTGGCTCAGTGGCTAGAGCGTCAGCCTGTGGACTGAAGAGTCCCAGGTTCCATTCAGGTCAAGGGCATGGGGTGTGCAGGAGGCAGCTGATGGATGTTTCTCTCATGGATGTTTCTAACTCTCTATCCCTCTCCCTTCCTCTCTGTAAAAAATCAATAAAATATATTTAAAAAAAAACAACTCCTAAATATCCCTGATTGATCTACTGAACAGAATCTTTTCTTCCCCTTGAAAAAAGTTTCAACAAGCCTCTTTTCTGTATACTCATTTGCGCAAATCCCCAAGATACCTTCCCAGTTGTAGAGTTCTGGGAGGAGTATACAAATATACGTTCACTGGACATGCTGACAGTTCCTGACAAGACTGCCCTTCTACAAAGACGGCTGCTCCAAGTTACCATTCATGCTTCAGAGCAGAAGGCCTCCCTTCCATGTGTTCACAGTACTGGTTATCAAACATTTTAACATAAGCTTTCTATAATATCAAAATTATTTTTAAGGAGATAGTGGGAGGGGTGGTTTAAAAGAAAAATTCCCGCTTACAGTAAATTTTCACACAGCACTAAAAGGTCTTTTGACCTGCTCTAGCCCTCCAACTAAGACAAGAGTGACCATGTCAAGGAGTATAAAGCACCTTTTGACCTGCTCTAGCCCTCCAACTAAGACAAGAGTGACCATGTCAAGGAGTATAAAGCACCTTCCCTTCTTAATCTTAGAGGTAATTTCACATCAACATACACTAAACTACCTCAATTCTCTTTTCACAGTTATAGATCATTCCACTAATCTAGCCAGTCCCTTACTGAGGGAAGTCTTCTTGGTTCCTGCTTTCTGCAGTTGTAATGCTCTAAGAATATTCTGGAGCAAATTTATCTTAGTACATATGCAAGTGTTCAATCAGATATACTCTCACAACTGGCACTGGTAGACGTGTTTTCACACCTTGAGATACTTAACTAATCCAGGTGTATCAGGATTAGTTAACTCCCCATCTCTTTAGTTCTGAGTGAAGGTAAGCACCTGTTACAGGATTAGATGCCTGCTGGGAAATGCTCGGCGCCCGTTTTCTATTGAGCTATGTCAATCATGATGAATTTTATATATATAGCAGGTCCTCGAATAACATCATTTCATTCAACATCCATGAGATGCTATAGGAACTTTACTCTTGCTTATATCTACTATTAGCCTACGGTAAAATTGGTTTCCTTTCACATCGTTTCACTAAAGTCACAGACTTACTGTAGAAAGCAGTGGTTCTCAACCTTCTGACCCTTTAAATACAATTCCTCATGTTGTGACCCAACCATAAAATTATTTTCGTTGCTACTTCATAACTGTAATGTTGCTACTGTTATGAATCGTAATGTAAATATCTGATATGCAGGATGGTCTTAGGCAACCCCTGTGAAAGGGTCGTTTGACCGCCAAAGGGGTCGTGACCCACAGGTTGAGAACCACTGGTATAAAGGAAACTAGCCCATCATCACATATACAAACATTTTGCCTCAGTTTGTCTTATTTTATGTATGAAAATTTTTCATAAGATAGTATCTTAAGTTTTCATATAGACTAATGCATCCATCTTTCTCAAAGCTTCTAGGCTTTATAACATCTAAAGATGACAAAAACAAAATTAACTTTTTGGGGCTCCAACTTGGTATTTTTCCAACTGACAGTTTCCAACACTGTTCATTAAAAACCCATCTTCTCTACTCTGACTGAACACATACCCTTCATAATAAACTAAATTACTACTAATATTTCAATCTCTTTCTGTAGTCTCAATTTCTTCTATCTATTTTCTGACATTAAATTAATCAGGCCATTTAAAAAGTACACTGACCTTCTGACTTAATAGAAATGCTAAGGTTTCTAATACATTAACTAAATAATACATTAACTAAAACTGACATTTCAACCTATACCTCTCTATAGCTATCAGTTTACTAAAACCTGATGTCCCTAGGCAATAGCCTCTTTATATAATTATTTTCAGGTTATTGAAGAATTAAAACTAATATAGAAAATTACCATTTCCAAGTCCCATCTGTTAGTTGAGCTGTTGCTAGACATTTTTTGTTAATTCAAAGATTCAATGCTGAGAGCACACTGCTGTTAAAGAATATATTTGAAAAAAAAAACAAAAAAAAAACCTTCATTCTAATCACTTTTTAAGACTACTGGCTTAACCAGAATTTACTCCAGCAACAATATATCCTTTAAAATGTCCTTTGAGGGGAAAAATGTTTTTCCTTGGGTTTCATTTTTCTCTGGCTTCCTTCACAGTCTTCAACTCAGGAAACTGAATGGCCAAACCCTTCTAATGACTTCTGGTCATAATAGTGTTGGAGGATTGGGGGGTGGGGGGAATTAAAACAAAACAACTCTAAATCATGCATTCTCAAAAGGGGAGGGGTAAAAACTGGCCTTATAGGGGGAAAAAATCTAAGATATTACAATGGTTGTAGTAGCATGGAAAGAATCAAAGTACATAAACTGACATGCAGCATGGATTATCATGATATCCAGGGTATCACAGAGGGAACGAGGACAAATTCAGAAAAAAAAAAGGTTTTAAAAAGGCTTCTTTGGAAGAAAATAATAAACAAAAGTTGCAAAATGTCATTTTATAACCAATAAATTGCAAAAATTTAACAGTCTGATAATACCAATGTTGGTGAGGATGTATACACTGCTATTGTGGGTGTAAATTGATTCAGCCACTTTACCAAATAATAGAGAGAAAAAAGAAAAGAATTATCTTGAAAGGATGAACATGTGCATCCCTTACAAACTACCAACTCTCTCTCCTAGGAATATATCCTAGATAATAGAATATATCCTAGAAAAATCCTTATACACATGCACCAAGAAGATATTCAAGAATATTCATTATACTCTTCATAATAATAAAAAAAACCACTAATTTTGTCTATGAATAAAGAATGGATAGTTGGGCAATACTCAATCAACAATGAAAACAATACCCAGCAAAATGGGTAAATAGAAACACAATATTGAACGAAAAAAGTTATTAACAACTGTTTATATAAATGAAACCATTTATATAAAGCCTCAAAAACAAGAAAGAATAAACATATCTTCAAGGAATCATAAAAAATATGTAATAAAAATATTTTTAAAAGGAAATGACACACACAAAGTATACAATAGTGTTGGGGAGGTAGACACACAGGCAGACACAAAATGGTATTGGCCATGTTCCAGTCCTCAGCTAGAGTGATGGAATAACAAGTATCTATTTTGTTTGCTTCATAACTTACATATGTTGCATTATTCCTGTTAGTTCAATATTTGGCTCTTCACAATAGGGACTAATGAACACCAAATAAAACTTACATCCAATTCAAAAAACAGGTCCCTTTCTTTACTTGCGATTTCATAATCTGCTCGGAGGGCCAAATCGTGGATTTTGGTACATTCTCCTAAATCCATGCGCTGTAAGAAACAAACAGAAGTTTACACACAAACATCTACCCATTAGAAAGCACATGCTCTGGTGTCTCAACTGTCACCAATATAAACAATACTTTTTTGAATACTAATCTAGCATAAGAAAATTAAGAAATAGAATATGGCTGAGAAGCCTTATTTTTCTTTTACCACCGTGACTGCATGATACTCAGAACTGATGGATTTAACAGTGTCAAGTTTATATCTCTTTTAGACCCAGAGATAATTGGACACATGAAAACCACATTAATTAATTTTGCCAATTTTATTTTTGCATCAGTCACAGAAAAAAAAATATCTATTTTTTTAATAGCAGAATTAGGGATGGGGGTGGCAAGAAAACCCAAGTGTCCTGACAGCAACAAGCTTCTAGTTCTAGGCATTCCTTCACGCAATCTTTACTACTCAAGATGCTCAAATTGCAGAGACAAGAAAAGGAAAGGGCAGACAGAAATCAGGTTTTGGCAATTACAACACAACCTAACACTTGGCTTTTGTGTAGCACTTAGTATACCAAAGGGAATAAAGCAGAATGGGCCGATTCAGAGCCAAATGAATCCTCCATTCTCCTAACCTGGTAAAAGATCCTGGACATGTAATTGGGCCACTCAGTTGCCCCTTTGAGAAACAAAAGGCTCTTTAACTAAACAAATCACCTGTGTTACAGTAAGACTAGCCTGGTGTGCTATTATGTGTTTTAAGCACATGTAGAACAATTAACCCTGCACAGTTCTTATCTAAATCCTGAGTACAAGACTGCACAGACACAAACACCGCCTCTGACATCTAAACAGCAACAGGGAAGTTTGTATGCTGAGAATCATGCTTACCAAGTAATAGAGTTCAAGTTAACAAACCCAACATCCAATGAGACAGCTCATAACTAGTAAACAAAAAATGATGGAACCCAGAACTCCTTTGAGCTCAAAATGTGTTCATAATGATATCAAAACCTTCACGGGTTATAAAATCATAACATTTTAAGAAAATTAGAGAGGCTCACAGTGCCTGGCTCTTGGGCCCTATTTCACAGAAGGTATGTGCCATTCTCACTAGCAAAATATCCTTCAGCCCTAGCCAGTTTGGCTCAGTAGATACAGCGTCAGCCTGCGGACTGAAGGGTCCTGAGTTTGAGTCCGGTCAAGGGCACATGTCAGGGTGTGCAGGAAACAGCTGATCCATGACTCTCTCTCATCATTAATATTTCTATCTCTCTCTCCCTTCCTCTATAAAATCAATAAAAGTATATTTAAAAAAATAATAAATAAATAAATAAATATCCCCTTCAATATCACCAGTGACAGTAATAATGAGTGAGCTGCCTAGTGTGGAGTTTATCTTCATTTCTACCAAAGACTGACTCTTACATTTAAATGCTAAAACCTCTTTCTCCTTCATTATTCTTACTCTAAAGTCATATACAGTTCATGTATATTGGTTACACAGGGGATCTAGAGGTAGAGCAATAGTGGTTCTAAAAGCCAAAGTTGCAACTAGAATCACTGTCCCTGTAAAGTTGACTTTTGCTTCATTCACTCTTTTAAGTACTAATTAAGATTCTTTAAAATACAGTTTCCACAAATGAAACTATGTGCTTTAGCTGAAAAATTAATGGCAGCTATCAGAAATACTTAAAAGGTAATGAAGTCTTGCCCTGGCCAGTGGTTAGATCAGTGGTCGGCAAACTGTGTCTCGTGAGCCACATGCGGCTCTTTGGCCCCTTGAGTGTGGCTCTTCCACAGAATACCGACTTCTGCGCATGGGCCACGAAGTTTCAATCGCACTGTACATGTGCGCCCACACGTGGTATTTTGTGGAAGAGCCACACTCAAGGGCCAAAGAGCCGCATGTGGCTCACGAGCCGCAGTTTGCCGACCACTGGGTTAGAGCATTGGCCCACTCACCAAAGGATCAAGGATTCGATTCTCGGTCAGAGGCAAGGGCAAGTACCTGGGCTGCAGGTTAAATCCCCATCGGGGAGTGTAAAGGAGGCAACCAACTGATGTTTCTGTCCCTTCCTTTCTCCCTTCCACTCTCTTTAAAAAAATAAAATAAAAGCTAATGAAGTAACTACCACAGGAAGCACTAAAACCTTAAGTGCTAAAAATTTTAAGTACAAATCAATTTCCACTCTAAAAACTTCCAAATGCCAAGAAAGTTTTTACATTAGGGAACCACAAATGGAAGCAAAACTCACCGCTGTCTTCCTTTGGGTGAGAGCCCTCAGGCTAAAGTAAGCGGAGGGTAGGCCTGGGTGCCATGGTTACTCTCTGGAAGTATCTTTTCCGCTTTGCCAAGGAGGCAGGGAAGTACTGGCCAATTACCCTGGCAGCTAAACACCAAACAGCTGAAACACCACACTCATTAGGTCTTTCCAAAATATCCCAAGTGGCTGTTAAATCCAGCCTGTCAGACCGTTTTTACTGCACAAACACCTGTGTTTTCACTAGTGCTGACACTGCTAACAGGAAAAGACATTAAAGGTTTCTTCCAGAACCTTTGGAAAACAAAGTTCTTCCACTGAGACAAGTTATACTACCTTCCCCCCAGCTATTTCACTCTCCCAAACTTACTAACCAATACTATATTTTCCCATTAGGCCCCAATACAAGTATTACTTCCACTCCTCTTTGCCTTACCCCAATGACAGGATATAGTTTTGAACAAAAATGTGGGCCTGGTGTAGCCCTTAGCAGGCTGACAGTTATAACCACGTTCATCTTGCAGCTCCACTCTAAAGAATTACAATCATTCCAATTTAACACAAACTCCCCATAAGACCCACCATTCAACCCTACCCCTCACCTTCCACTTCCATGTAGCCCACACCCAAGGAGGCTCAACCTTTACTACAACCTCCATTTGAATTCCCAATCCTTGTCCTAATCGATCCTCGGCAACTCCTGAGATTTGCATCTTCACATGAACATGTCTCCTGGGTTTTCTCCTTCTCCTCAGTCTGCTCCTCCTCAAACTCTTATTGAGGTGCCCCTGCCCAACCCCACACAGGAATGACTCTGATCAGTCCGTGGCTTCTCATAACTCAAATGATTCCACAGCCTCTGCCTCCCTCCCCCCACTCACACCGGTCCAGATACACCAGTGGCATTCCTGCTGTTCTCATCTCCATCCTCCACTCAGAGCACTATACCCCCAAAGCCAGGCACATGTTCCTTCTCACCATAAGGGTCTCTATTCCAATGTCCCTAAGAGGCCTTACCTTATCACCCTATCTAGAACAGTCCATTACCCACTTATTATTTATTGTATGCTCTCTTCCACCATTACATGAGAGCAAAGACTTTGTCTTATTGGCACCATATCCCCAGTGCCTGGCACAGAGAATAGGTGTCCAATAAATATTTGGTGAATTAATCTATACCTAACACAATAAACATTGGTAGGAAATGGCCTCATTCTGGTTATTTTTCTCACCAGCATTCTGGAACAATGCTACACAGGGATCTGATTAAGAAAAACATGGTTGGCCATAGCCAGTTTGGCTCAGTGAATAGAGCATTGGCCTGAAAACTGAAAGGCCCCAGGTATGATTCCAGTCTAGGGCACATGCCCAGTTGCAGGCTCGATCCCCAGTGGGGGACGTGCAGAAGGCAGCCAACCAATGATTCTCTCTCATCATTGATGTTTCTATCTCTCTCTCCCTCTCCCTTCCTTTCTGAAATCAATAAAAAAATATATTAAAAAAAGAAAAAGAAAAACATGGTTGAAATGCTTCACTCTGATGCATGTCCCTCGTCTCCAAACTTCTCCCACTAAGATCTATCAACAATTCTAGGTTATGAAACTTCTCCTACAGGAGTATTCTACAGCTGAACTGTTTATAACTAATGGAAGCCAGACATCTATATTGATGGATTCCTTTGGCTCTGAATTAGCCAATTCTGCTTGACTTTCTCTGGTACACAAAGAGCAACACAAACAAAAATGTGTAGCAAATGAGAGTTATAATGCTTTCCTACACAAGATCAAAGTGCAGATAGGCCCCAGGTAAGAGTCACAAAGTTTGGCATTCATTTCCTATTTGCTGTCAGAGAGCCAGCTTGAGAAGATTTAATAGACCTAAGCAGTTTCCCACCACAATGATATTAATAAAGCAATGATTAATCACAAAGAAAACGTTCACTAGTACATGCACATTTGAGCCTTTAAAATGAAAAGACAGTTTTTATATCCACGAGGTGGCTGCGAAATCTTAAAATGGTGCTGATCTTTATAGATCCTACACTTCTTAGTCTTCTTAAATCCTATCTAATTTTGAATAAATGCACATTCTACAAAATTAGCACTAATCTGTTTTGTTCATCTGAAGTGAACTTAAAATTTTAGGGGTCTATATTCATTGAATCATGTGTTACTTCTTGAAAGGTTGGCATAACACAAAACTAGAAAAATCAATGTTATGCCCAACTGATTTTTAGAAAACTTCAAAATTCAGGGAAGAAATGTTATCTTGTTTGACTCTACAAAAACCTGACAACTTTTGCCCAGCCTGTTTGTCTCAGTGGTTAAGCGTCAACCTATGAACCAGGAGGTCACAGTGTGATTCCAGGTCAGGGCACATGCCCTGCTTGTGGGCTGGATCCCCAGTAAGGGGTGTGCAGGAGGTAGCTGATCGATGTTTCCATCATCTCTCTCTCTCACTCCTTTCCTCTCTCTTTGAAAAAGCAATAAAAACCTATTTAAAAAAATTGTTTATTAAAAACAATTCCATTTACTAACAGAACCTATAATTTGAAGGGGCAATAAAGGTGATTTCTATCTGATAAAGGAAGACAGAATTCAACCTGGAAAACTTATACTGCCTACACAGCACCCCAGCCTGAGTGTTCTGTGATGTCTCCCTCCGCCCCCCAAATGCACCTACCGTCCCAGCCAGGATGTCATGAGGGCAGCAGTCCAGAAGGTGACTCTTGCAGACTCGGTCATCTGTAAACTTCACCCTCTGTCTGGTTTCATCTCCTGAAATTTATTTGTGGTTTTAAATAAGACAATACCACGTTAAATACAAAAGCATATCTGGTACAAGTCACCTGGATGATTTGCAGACTACCAAATACACTGAAAAGCTGATCTAGAGATATTTACAACTGGAGTGGAATACAGATGTTCTCTGATGCTAAATATATCATGAAGAATCACATTTAATAAGATCTGACTCCATCATTGTGCCAAAGAAGTCAAGGAGACAGAAGTAAAAGGCTGAGCACCAAAAAGGCCACTAGCCCCACACATACATGTGGGCAATGATACCAAAACCCATGTTAATCAGAGGGCCATGAATCACCACGTATGACCTATAGCTGGTAGTTTCCACCAACAAAAGCTATTTATTAATCTAATCGTTTTGCTGTGGACAAAATGTGTAGGCAGCATTTTGCTCAAAAATACAAAGAAAGCTTTCAAACTCTACCGCTAATAAATAATCTAGACCTAGTCTTTCCTATCCCCTTTTCACCCCCACCCTTTAAAAAGAAGAGTTGGCACCTGGGAGTCACTGTTAACAAGACAATACTAAAAAAAAGAAGAAAAAAACTTAAAAAAAAAAAAGGCAAAAAGGAACTAGGTTAGTCAATACACACTGTGAGTTCCAACATATACTGTACCCATCTGCATTCTTCAAGACCTCAGCTGCAGAATTTTATGCCCGCTGTTGAAAAGTTTTAAAGGAAAAGTTTTCTTGCCCAACCTGCAGTAAGGAAGTCAGGGGAATGATACATAAAAGTAAAGGCAAAGTGGAATGTGACAAATTTTAAAGCTAATCTGTGTATAGGACACAGAGCTGTGTAATACTAAAGGAGGAATATATCTTAGGATTTGCAAGCATCCAGGATTAATGTAGTGTCTTCTTATTGAAAATGCTCTCTTTCTAAACTACACTTTTAAAGATACTTGTGAAAAAAAGCAAACACTTTTTTGTTATAACAGCTTAGAAATTGGTTGTGACTCACGGCTCGATGAACATGAGGCTTTTCTGCAACTCCCTTGCAGATTGATGTAGGCAGGCAAAGATACACTGAACCTTTATAAATAAAATAGAGGGGCCACAATTGTTCAGTTTGTATGAAATAAAAATATGGGAAGCAATTCAAAAGCAACTCAATACACAAAGAAAGCTAAAAAGCACGTTTTCACCTATGAAATACAGTGCAAAGAATTTGCACAGCCCTGCGAATGTGCCAGTGTGAACTTACAACTTCATTCCTTCAGTAGGAAAGGAAACACAAACCACAGCAGGTAAATAGTTTTGCAAAGATGCAACCACTTTCTCCTGAGACAACCATCATGGTCTTGCACTCCTCCCTACAATACAACCTAACCTAACGCCTGACAAGCGCTGGCTAAACAGAGCCTCTCCTAAGCGGGAAGTGGGCGTGGGAAAGCACTCGGCAGGAACCCTCGTAAGAAAAGCTCAATTTACGGCTCCCCTTGCAATGGTACCGAACAAGAACGGCGGGAGTTCGAGGCCCATCGGCTCCCGTGGGTGTAGCTTCTCCCAAGCTGCCGGCGACCTGGAGCCCATGGTGGCTCCAGCCTTTCGCCAACTCCCCGGTTGGAAATGGCAGGACCATACGTGGGGAAGGGGGATGGAGCCCCACTGACGGAGCGGGCTCGGAGGAGGAGCTCGCCGAAGATGCGCCGCTGGAGGGAGAAAAGCCGGCCGAGGTCGCCTGCCAGGCGAACCCGCTCGCACAAAGGCCCGGCGCCGGCCATCGGCGCGTGGGGGAGGGGAGGGCGCAGGCGCAGACAGTTGCGGCCCCCACTTCAGGCCGCCCGGCGGCCTCGCCTCACTCCCGCCCCAGCCCCTCGCCTGGCTGGCCGCCCCGACTCACCGTCCCGGGCCGTGCCCATGAGCTGGTCCAGCAGGGCCCGCATCTGCGCCTGGGCTGACATGGTGGCCGGCGGGGGCGGCAGGAACGGCCCTGACAAGGTCTCTCAATTCAGCAGCGGTGGCGACGACGAAGGATAGTCACGTCGGTCTCGAGCCCACTCGGCTGCTTCCCTTCGCGGGGGATGTCGGGAGGAAGTACGTCATGGCCGGCGTTAGGCCTGCTGGGAAATGTAGTTCCTGGGGCGGATGGGAGCCGAAATCCGCTCTAGAGGAGACTGAGGTAGGGTGGTCCAAGCCAGTTGTCTAAGCGGCGGAGCCAGTCTCTACTCTGATTTTACTCTGGAGTCCAAGACCTATAAACTTTCCGGAGGCTAACCTGCAATTAAACAAAATAAATATAGACAAACCAAAACAAAGTAAATCTCGTGGGGTTTTTTTGCTAGCCAGATTCAAAATTAATGCTAGTCTTTAACCTGGACAGGAATCAGGAAGTCCTGCTGGAGGAGCTCTAAATGCCCTATGTGGTGACGGAAAGCCCTACAAGAGGAGTTCTAGGTTATAACAACCCTACCACACACTTCCTCTTCCCTTCTATAAAAGACTTCCTCCCTATTGCTTACCCACGAACTTGCACCTGATTCACTATGGTGGCAAGGACTGTATTGCAATCCTGTCTTTATTTCCAATTAAATATTGTTTTTGCTGAAGGAATACCTGGCAGACTTTCTTTGCGGTCAACACAGTCTCATCTGGGGTCCAGAGAAGACCCTGTGCTGCACCAGCACGGCCAAGGGTGAACCTGAGGAGGGGCGGTGAAGGATTGAAGAAAAGACAGACAAGGGAATACAGCTGGGGCTTGGTACATCTCCTGTGCCTGGATGAGGACACAAAAGACCCAGCCTGCAAACCAATGCTTTATTTTATAGTCTGATTAAAACAAGAGTAGATGAACATGTATACAAATGTTCTTGTTTTGGCAACTTGCTGCACCTCCCACAGCCCACTAGCTACTTAGGAAGGAATTAGGGAGGGCTACAAGGTCAGGCTTAATTATGCTAGGAGAGCTCTGCCCCTTAGGCTGGGACTTGTTTGTGGCTTGACCCTAGAGCCGCTCCCTACACTTTCCCAAGCAGGCTGTTCTAATAGAACTACATTGCTTCTCAGCCTATGCCTGACTACCTCAAGTTGGGTTTCTGAATCAGCTGCTTCAGCATGGGGCCCTGACCCCCTTCTCCTTTGGATCAAATGGCTCTTTTTTAAAAATATTTTTTTATTGATTTCATAGAGGAAGGGAGAGGGAGAGAGATATAGAAACATCAATGATGAGAGAGAATCAGTGATTGGCTGCCTCCTGCACACCCCCTACTGGGGATTGAGCCTGCAACCCAGGCATGTGCCCTGACCAGGAAATGAACCCATGACCTCCTGGTTCATAGGTTGACCCTCAACCACTGAACCACCCTGGCAGGGCTTTATTTATTTATTTGTAGAAGGAGTGGAAAGGAGAGATAAACATTGATTTTTTGTTCCACTTATTTATGCATTCATTGGTTGATTCTTGTATGTGCTCTGACTGGGGATCAAACCCACAATCTTGGTATAAGGGGAGGATGCTTTAACCAACTGAACTACCCGGCCAGGTCTGGATCTGACTGTTCTAAATGGAACTGGTTGTTTTTCAGCCTGCAGGCTGCCTAAGCTAACTGAGTTGTTTAGCCAGTTTGGGCCCTTTCTCTAGAGAAAGGGCATGTACCTTGGTTGTGGGCACATCCCCAGTGGGGAGTGTGCAGGAGGCAGCTGGTCAATGTTTCTAACTCTATCCCTCCCCTTCCTCTCTGTAAAAAGCCAATAAAATATATAAAAAATAAAAAAGAATCCTTTTAGGAGCCTTGGTTGGTTGGAGCTTCATCCGGTACACCTTCTGGTATACCAAAAGGATTAGGGTTTGATCCCTCCCAAGGAAGATACCTGGGATGCAGGTTCAATCCCTGTTCAGGGATACAGGAGGCTACTGACCGATGTTTCCCTCTCTCTAAAAAATCAATTAAAAAAAAAAAAAAAAAAACATATCCAGGGACCAAGATGGCGGCGTAGGTAAACACTGGAGACCGCTGCCGCAAACAACCATTTCAAAAATACAACTAAAAGACGGAACGGACATCACCCAGAACCACAGGAAGGCTGGCTGAAGAGAAACTCTACAACTAGAAGGAAAGACAACGCAGAGGAGGCTCAGAGGAGGCGCAGTGTGGAAAATACAAAGGTACCGAGGTGCGCGCAAAAGCGGGCTGGTGGCTGAGGGCGCGGTTGTCATTTTCGGTCGGGAGTGAGTCTCAGACTCTGGGCTCCAGATCCGGGCGAGTCTCTAGGGACCCAGACTCAAACGGGAAAAGCGGGATTATCCGGCATCAGTTGGAACCTGAGGGCAGCTCTCTCTCCGAGGTTTGCAGCGGCTACCGGGGTTCTGAGAAGCAGAGCCTCTGGGAACGGGACTGAGAGCGGCCATAACTGCTCCCTCCGCCCGCCCTGTTGAGCCCGCCCCGCCCAAGCCCTGTGCACAGCCATTTGCCGGATCGCCTCAGGCAAAGGCTAGATTAGCACCTCCCAGAGGACAGAAGTTTTCCCACAGCTGATTCTCGCAGCCAGTCAGCCTGGTGGTCAAATCCCTCTAGTGTTGACTACAACAATCTGGGCTTAACTAGAACAGGACTGCACACAGAGACCACAGGGGGGTGCACCAAGAAGGCATAAAAAATGCGGAGACAAAGAAACATGACAGAAATGGAGGATATGGAGCTAAAAATCGCAATTTTGAGGGTTTGCAAAAAACTCGAGGAGAGCCTCACGAAAACTAATGAGACCCTCGATGCTACGATAAAGAAACTAGAAATTAAGCATACACGGACTGAAATAAAGAATATTATACCCAATAGCGGACCAGAGGAGCGCAGGAGTCAAGTCAAAGATTTGAAGTGCGAAGAAGAAAAAAACACCCAACCAGAAAAGCAAAATGAAAAAAGAATCCGAAAATGCGAAGATAGTGTAAGGAGCTCTGGGACAGCTTCAAGCGCACTA